CATGGTCCCCTAATAATACAGTTCATGCAAAGGCTACTAACAGTCTGGACTGGAGTAAGCAACGCAAAAAAACATAACATTCTCTTGCTTTTTTCATTACTTTGGTCTCCAGTCGAAGGACCTCGTACCAGATTTAATTCTCAGCGAAATCTCACGCAATCTACGTTTGCACTAATCATTAATTTATGGGATTTTTATAATTTTTCGTCTTCTATATCTATTTCGTCACATCAAATCAAATACACTCAACATCAAATAAACCGCACCTTCCGCGACGCGAACTTTAAAGATTTTCTTCTGACACAATTATGGTACCCCAACAATATTGGTGTTATTTGAAAGCCCAATAAATATCCTTAAAGAAAAATACATTTCATTTCTAAATAAATGATTAACATTTATACCATAAATGTGACTTGAAAATAGACCTCACTTTGGGCTCACCTCTGGGATCAATTAGACCAATTTTTATGATTTAAATAAAGATCTCACGTGTCCTCTTTAACAGATGGATAGCGATTAATCCCAACTTAACAGTTTTATAGTCATAAAAAATGACTATAGCGTAACCACCTATTTTTTGAAGAAGTGACTCTGGCTCCTTGTAAAGACACGTTTTTGGGGTAAAAACCTTTCCTTTAATGAAATGAAGTTTAGAACTAGGCTTTCAAATGGTACCAATGTTGGTGGGAAGTGGGGATGCATACGTTAAAATAAAGTTTACTCCATTCTGAATGTAAAAATAGCATTGTCACTAAATATTGTAAAGTGGTTTATGAGAATAGTTAAGCACCGAATTGAGAGAGCACCGAATTGTGAAAATGAATCACGGAATTGAGAAATGAATCTCCAAATTTAAAAATCGCTCCGTGAACTTAGAATTGATGACATTATGTAGAAATACATAATGTATTTCAATAATCAAAATAATAAATACCTAAAACTTTTGATATCTGACTGCTGGTCTATTAGTTAGATGGTTAATTTTAGGTTTAATTGTCTGAAATATCCATTGGAATTAAAAAAATCCTAATCAATATGTTTAATTTTTTAATAAGGAACTATGAATCATTCTTAATTTTTATATATTATTTTATTTCATTAAAGTTATATAAAAATAAAATTATATTTAAATAAAATAAATACATAACAAAGGGTCTCCTCTTAGTTTATTTATTCTTAACCTTAAACATAAAACAAATATAGCAAGACCCAAGAGCTAGATTGACCTGACACTATACCGAAGATATACCGGACGTCAGTTTGTACAAAATTAAAATAGCTCTCAAACAGCTGAAATACAACAAGGCACCGGGTGTTGACGGCATCACGGCTGAGCTTCGCCGGTACTAAAGGCTCTACAGAAGCAGTTCAATTCCATCATCCTCGAAGGAAAAACGCCTTCGGCATGACACAAAAGTGTGGTGATAAAATTATAGACTCATCTCACTTCTGAAGCGTGTTTACAAGCTGTTTTCGAGAGTCTCGCTCGCAGACTCAACGACTTCCAGCCTTCTGAAAAGACTTTAGTATTATGGCACACACACAGGTACGCTACGGCATATTACACAGAAGACCAAGGAGCCAATTCACGGACGATATCGTAGTCATGGCTTATTGGTCGTAGGCACGGACGATATCGTAGACCTTGGAAGATCTAGGCACAATGCTCGATGGCCTCCGTAGAGCCTCTCAACAAGTGGGTCTCAAAATGAACATGGACAAGACAAAAATCATGTCAAATGTCCGTGTTTCACCCACTCCTCTNCTTGAAGGCGCCATTGTTGAAAGACACTCTGTGTAAGCCTCATTACGCGCCGACCGCAAAACGACAACTGGTGTCGCTGGACGGAGCCGCATTGAAGGGCCCGCAGCGAGTCAGCCTGAGCCTCGACGGACGGCCGTTGCTGAGAGCCGCGTTGCCTGCTGTCAGAGCGCAGCCTCTAAGGCACCAGGTGAGTCCACACTCCACATATACTAGCACATGCCTGTGGCAAAAACACGAATAGTGTCACTAAACGACGGCGCTGTTAAGAGACATCCTGTGTATGTCTCATTACGTGCCCGCGACGAAACGACAACTGGTGTCGCTAGACGGAGCCGCGTTGAAAGGNTTTCACCCACTCCTCTGAAGGTTGGAGACTCTACACTTGAAGTTGTTGACAATTGTGTATATCTGGGACATAGAGTCCAGATAGGTAGGTCCAACTTTGATCTCACGTCTGAAATACCGCAGTGTCTCAAGACAAAAGTCTTCGACCAGTGTGTGTTGCTAGTGATGGTGTATGGATGTGAAACGTGCTCGCTTACTATGAGCCTAATAAGAAGGCCCAAAAGGCAATGGAGCGTTCTATGCTCGGAATTTTCCTTCGTGATTGAATCAGAAATGAAAAGATCGGCAAGAGAACCAAAGTGACCGACATAGTCCGCAGAATTGCAAAAATCAAGTGGCAGTGGGTGGGGCACTTAGGTCGTACAAATGATGACTGTTGGGACTGAAAAGTTCTCGAGTGAAAACCACGGACCAGTGGGCAGGCCTCACACTAGGTGGACCGACGATCTTGTGAAGATCGAGGTAAGAACCTAGATGCGGACAGCGCACGACCGGCTGCTATGGACATCCTTGGGGAGGCCTTAGTCCAGTAGTGGACGTCATTTGGCTGAAACGAACGAACGAAAAATAAAATAATGAATTATATTGAAAGAAAATAATTTTATCAATTAGTAAAAAACGATTTTAAACATATCCCAATATTTTTGTGACTCTTGCTCTTTAAGTTATGATGAACAGAGATGTCCTTTTACCTGTCCATTATCTAGTTTTCAAACAAAAAACTATTAATTATTGGACAGCAAATATCCATAATTCAATAACTTATTAGTTACTGTGTTTTGTGGAACCAATAATTATTAAATTATATACAAAATACAATAACTCTTTAGTATAAAAAGAAATGAGCAAATGAGATAGATTTAAAAAATATATATAAAAATGTTATAGACAAACATTCTATTTTCAAAATCGTTGCGATAAGTTAAAGTACATATTTTCAAACTTCTGCTTACATCGTTTACTAATGTTTTGAACTATTGTTTTATATTATTTTGATAAGATAGCAGTAGCAGTGCATTCTTTTTGATGAAACCTCAAAAAAAATGTTTTATTGTCTTCTCTTATGACTGGTAGTGCCCAATGATTGCTAGTTCACCCTATTATTATGTTAGACTGATTTTATTAACATTTTAAGATACACAAACAATTTATTGTCTCCATTTTCATTTAATATCAATTCGGTGTATACGTTTTCTCAATTCGATGCCCCATATTCCGCGGAATTGAGATCCACGGAATTGAGGAAATATCACAATCCATCAAATTACTCGAAAATATTATAAATTACAACAATTTCTACAAATCGTAATGGCAGATATCACTTAAACACTCAATTAATTCAGCAGTAATCTCATTAAATACTTCCTGAACATTATTAATTTCGCACACCGATTTGAGAAATGACCAGTGACCAAAAATTTTTAGTGATTTCAAACCTCTGAAAAATGCTCCTCAAAGCGACAAATCTCTCTTTTAGACTTCTCGAAAATTCGGGCGCAACTGCTAGTTTGTGGGAATCAGTCGAGGGCGTTCGTACTGTGCGTAGTTAGTGATATAGGAGCACAAAAGTAAAAATCACGGAATTGAGGCACACACGTCGGACAAAATTTAAATGTGTTACTGTAGTAAAACCCAAGGACTTACAATAAAGAAACTCATATATACATATGGCTTTATTAACTATCCCTTGTTCTGTGAATGTGGGTATCATAATGGGAAAGTTATTATTTCAAAAGTTATGAAGCAAAAACGAGTAAATTCTGGAAACCGGACACTCCATTTTAAGCCAAATTTCGCCCGTTTTTGAACTTTCAGATTTTTTTAAGGCGAGATGTAAAACCTGGCGGTCTTCTAAATATGCTCTCCATCAAGTCAAGAGTCCTATAAATACGTGTGATTTTTTTCAAGACCGTACTTCAATTTTAAAGGTACTTTTTTCGCCCCAGTAGGTCAATCGGTCGTCTCCGTAGAAATGCCCTTATTCGATATTGATCTCTATCGCACACGAATAAGGAAGCTGTTACAATAATTCTTGGGCTAAAAGGAAAGCCAGAATGATGACTGAATCATTAACCACTAAGGACGTCATGACATGACAATGGTCTCAGCGAAAGCATAATTCGATGATGAAAATATGCGTCAGTAAGTATTCCTCCTTTTTGGAACAATACTAAATTACGTACCTAATAAGGATTTTAGATTGACAAATGAAATCGATCATTCATAAATCCCAACTAATATTATAAATGCGAAAGTAACTCTGTCTGTCTGTCTGTCTGTTACGCTTTCCCGCTTAAACCTCGCAACCGATTTTGATGAAATTTGGCATAGAGATAGTTTGAGTCCCGGGAAAGAACATAGGATAGTTTTTATCCCGGTTTTTGAAACAGGGACGCGCGCGATAAAGTTTTTTTGTGACAGACAAAATTCCACGAGGGCGAAGCCGCGGGCGAAAAGCTAGTTGATTATAAAGTTTAAGATACAACTGGCTTTTTCTTTATGCCTACAGGAAATATGTAGTTTCAATATAACAAATAAGTAAAGGTAAGCGAAATAAGATAGGTACATTCCACCAACTGCCACGGCATTATGTAGAGCTATGCACTAAATTTTATTACGATGCATCTACCTATTACAGACAGACAATAAAATTGTGTCAGGAAAACCAACACAAGTCACACCCAGCAAACATAAGCTGACCGGAAATAAAACCTGAAATCAAAATAAAACTAGCATTAGATCAATAAATTAACTTCGTAAGTTTACTTCAAAATAGTTTTTTAAATCTGCCAAAAATGCGTTTCATCTACCTACACGTTCGTTGAATTTTATATCCTGACACAAATTCAAAATTCAAACCGTCATGCTCACCATAATGGTCTATTACCGTACCGCACGCATTCATACGCAAAATGGATGGCGGGAGAAAAGTTTGACAGCGCCATTACGCATGCGCCGCGCGGGATGCCTACGCGCAGCCATCCGCCCGCTTTCGCGGACCATCCGCCATTTTTGGGCTCACCATGTTTGATAATTTGTTCGGAATTTCAGGACTAACCAGTGTGTAGTTGGAGATAATATAGCTAGTTCTGTGGGTGAGGATTCCGGGTAAAGCTCGCTTCTTCCTTCGGCTATAAAATTTAAAAATAGGTAAATCAATCTAATTATCCAAAATAATTGTTCGGTGATGATGTGAGACGGATATCAAGCAGTTAATAGAGACTGAAACCATATGTTGGTGACGTATGTAGAGTCGGCAAACTAGCCTCCTTATCATTTGCTTTTCCTGTCTCGGTAAAACAATAACGGCACAAATAATTACGTAATTTTCATCTTTAGGTAGTTAGAATCAACAATTATTACCTTCTGAAATCGGTCAGACCTGAAGAACATAAACTTTCTCCACTTAACCTGTATTTATCCCAAGCTAATTTCAAATCTTGAAAAAAAAGCTATATTGACTAGTTGATGATAACAGAATCTTATCAGAGCTTTCAAAAAAGCTTGCCCAAATCGATGTAAGAAGTGGTCACTAGGGTGTCCCAAAAAATCTGCCTTTTTCAACGCATGGTCACCCTACACAGGCGCCATGCGCACGCGCCGCGCCCGCGTCTTCTTGACATAATTTTAGAGCGACTTCGAAAATAAGGAGGTTATCAATCCATAGTTATTTGAGCAGCGATAGCCAACTGTTGAATACTGTACCTACCTTCCTACTCGGGAGACCTACTCGAATCGTTTGCTACTGACTTTGTGATAGACTACAAAGGTTGATAATGGTATGAAGACGAAACCTAAATAACGGATTTTAGGGCTTATGAGGTTTTATAATTATTACTTGCATAAATCTCCACTTTTAGCCTTTGACCTGATACAAAATGTTGTATCTACCTAATCTTTATCAGTAGGACAATCGCCTAATGACATTTTTTTCGTATTCCTTTGTTCTGGGGTTTCACTTCATAGAGATCCAACTCCGCTTGGAAGTCGATTCTTTAGCTTAGAGGATCGACGATTTCAAGAACACTGCTAGTAGTGTTTGAATGAAAAAAGGGAGAGATGTGTTCATTATCACTCCTTAGCCGAGGCTTAAATCTATCAACATAGCTGAAATGATGATAGAGTATACAGGGTGGAATTTTGTAATGTCACCTCTAGGGAAAGTACTCTTAATATTGCAGATAAATAAAAATACTGAAAGAAAACATTCCTTTATTTTTGAAAGGAAAGAGAACTGCAGTCATAGATTTTCGAAATATTTTCGAAAATTCACTACCATACTATACAATTTTCTGTACATAATTAAAATAATTTAAGGTTTTATGGATTTCCTTTCATTTGATTTATCAAGTTTGTTAGGGAGATTTCATCTTTATACTTGACCCTAACGATCGATGCATTAAAAATACAGGGTGTAATTTTAGTTGGTTCGATTCTTGGGTGTGGCAAGCAAATTTTTGGAAAAATATGCGTAAACTATTTACACACTACTTACAGTTTCTTCATTTACCTAAAGTACTAACAGTTGGGCAACGCGCAAAGAGGCCACTGCAACACTGGACATGACATTTCGCAAACCGTCCGAGATGAGTTTATAAAATTAAAAATTATAATTGACGCGGTTATGCGTAGACCTTGCTACTACTTAACGCAGCCGTGAGCATGCCGCGGATGTAGGCTTAATGCCACTGGAAGAGGTAGTTTTAACAGCTGTAGCACTTTATAGTTCTTGCAACTCACGAAGGCGAGTGAGTTATACTTGTGTGTGAGTGAGTTATACGTGTAATATGCACATAACGATAGTGTAATGTCTGTCAAAACTATTCAAAAACGAACAGTAGCGAGCCACCACACATGTTAAGCTCACTCGCCTTCGTGAATGCAACAACTATAACTGATATTGGTATGATTGTCATATAACAGGTATGATAGCATAAAATGTCGGACTTTGATCACCTGGATGATCACCCAGTTGAAAGTGGACTCCAGGCGACACTTTGGTGTCCTTTGATCATCCATAGATAAGAAGAATCCAGGTGATCAAAGTGGAATAGACCAAAATATCACATTTATGCAAAGTAATTTAATTCCTCAATAAATATTCTCGAATCTTTTTTTAAAAGCAACATTTTAACATTGGGATCGTCGCTATTGCGATCGATTGTACATTGTTAAACGAAAAAAACGTTCACAAATATTTACTTATGATTTTTTAAAGCGAATTTACGGATGTATTCTCTTTAACAAATGTAACGAATACGTTGTTAATTAGTTGTATTTAGGTATGTTTACTACATCCGGAAATGTAGCTATGAATTTTTCATACACAGTATGTATTACTTGTATTTATTTGCTAAACACTGTACCTAACATCCGAACATGTAACATGATTTTAATAATAAACTAATATAACTTAAAAAAATTACCTACTAGGTAATTTTCTTCATTAACAATTTTCATTTTCAAATTATCTTATTTTAAAATGAAACCCTCTAAAAACGAATATTTTCCCCCTTATTTAAATTTTCCTCTCTCCAGGTTGCCTGGAAGATACCGTCTCGTTTCGATAAGACCGCTTAAATCAGACCATTTTAACTTTTTGAGTAGCCTTTCTTAAGGCTTATTCCTAGAGCTCTACACCGCTATTGTTTTAAAAAAAGTTCATACTTTGATTCTCAACGGGTCCACGAGTTCCAACGACATTAAAAATAAAAAGCATTTTCTTAGTATATTATTTTAAAATTTCATGGATCCGGTGGAAAAAGAGGAACAATACAGTGTGAGTCACGTTAAAGTGTACATATGAAAATAGATGAAACTAGACCTATTTTTATCGACAAAAAAGAGGTCAAAAAATTTTTGAGATTTTTTTTTTATTTTTTATAGAATTTTTTTTCTTCCAATTACTTATTGTAAAGAAAACGTAATAACTTTTAAACTAAGCGGTATATCCTGATAAAGTAAAAACACTAATAATGCTAAATAACAGGCAATAGTAAAAAAATACATAAAATACACAAAAAATGCCAAAAAATAATAAAAAATGATACTTTTTGAAAAAAATCCGCTTAAAAATTCGTGTTTTTTTGGTTATTTGATAAATTTCTCCAAAAAATGCCCCAACAACAGGTGGTTTTTATTGTTTTGTATTATTCTCTATCGCATTACCTTTGTAAAACCAAAAATTGCATGTCTCTATCCCTATCACAACATTTGCTATGATAGTTTGAACAAAGGCCTATCACAACATTATTCTCCTCTACAGGTAGGGACAATTTTAATTTTAACTAAAATGCTTATTTTACTTCGAAATCTTTTGTTTTTACTTGAAATCTAACTTGTCTTTATCAAAATTACAAATCTAGAGCCATTTTCAGTTTCGTTGTTAACGAAGCGTTGAATGGCGCGCCCGGAGAGGCTTAGTTCAAACGATCATAGCAAATGTTGTGATAGGGATAGAGACATGCGATTTTTGGTTTTACAAAGGTAATACGATAGAGAATGATACAAAATAATAAAAACCACCTGTTATAGGGGCATTTTTTGGAGAAATTTATCAAATAACCAAAAAAACACGAATTTTTAAGCAGATTTTTTTCAAAAAGTATCATTTTTTATTATTTTTTGGCATTTTTTGTGTATTTTATGTATTTTTTTTACTATTGCCTGTTATTTATCATTATTACTGTTTTTATTTTATCAGGATATACCGCTTAGTTTAAAAGTTATTACGTTTTCTTTACAATAAGTAATTGGTAGAAAAAAAATTCTATAAAAAATTAAAAAAAAATCTCAAAAATTTTTTAACCTCTTTTTTGTCGATAAAAATAGGTCTAGTTTCATCTATTTTCATATGTACACTTTAACGTGACTCACACTGTATAGTCGTGGACCTTTCGGAATAAGCCTTTTCATAAAATTAAATTAAAGAGTATCTCTATCTTTTGGAAGTTTTATAATATTTGATCGTCACTTCTAGCACGTTTATGTCTTCCACCACAACATAGTGCTAGCAAATGGTAAAAAAGTGGCAATTAGAACAAAGATTGTAATTAAAACTAAACGTTTCATAATCTTACAAGCGGTTATCTGCATGCTGCTTATCTCCAGTAATGATGCAGTGTGGAAACAGCGCGGCATTAATTGTTTATTTAGCAGTTTTAGTTAATTAATTATGGTTTTTGACCACATAGGAAGGTTTTTGGCCACAGTAACGCCTAATTTTAGATGTAGTTGCAGTCTAATACCTAAGCATTATATCTTAATTCATTCTCTTCAACTTAATGCCCACTGCTGGACAAAAAGCCTCCCCCCAGAAAAGTTCTCGAATGGCGACCACGGGCCGGGAGACGTAATGTGGGCAGGCCTTCACTAGGTGAACTGACGATCTGGTGAAGGTCGCCGGAAGTACCTAGATGCGGGCAGCGCAAGACCGGCCGTTTTGGAAATCCTAGGGAGGCCTTCGTCCAACAGTGGACGTCGGTTGGCTGAAACGAGATCGAGCAAGTATTTGTTTCATAATAGGTAGGGGGAGTCCGGGAGAGTTTACCCGCCTTCCACTAAAATGCTTATAAATATTTCTATACTTACAAATTGCAAATTTTTATTAATTGTATCTTAAGCTACATTATTTAGCTATATTTTCTTCTAAGAAAGTTTAATACATCATTATTAGTTTAAGAGTAATTAACAATTTTAACCAAAGTGATATTTGGCTAATATCTCCCGCCTGGGTGGGAGACTTGACCCCCCAAGTAGGGAGACTTTACCCGGGCTTAAAAATAAGCAAAATAATCACTACAAATTATAATTCTATAAAGAAATTTAATCTTCTTGAATGAAAATGTGTAACAATTAATTCTATAAGGTTTTAAAAAAAATCTGCGACGTTTTTTCTATTAAAACTGGTTGATCTGGATAAACTGGTTTCTACTGGGGCAACACC